GATATTCGATAGGTGAATGGAAAATGGCAGAAATAAAATTGAATTCCAACGACCGGTGAACGGGATCGAAATATATTTGTGTTATGAATGAATAGTTTATATTGACTCTATTTACTACCGAATGAACATATATATATATGATATCGATAAGCTCATTCAGATGCAAGCTTATATAAGACTTGAATTGGGTCAATTAAACAAAGCAGGTCCGACTATTATTTTACCGTTCCCGCAACCTTATATTGGTAATGTGATCAATACACTACTCTAACACCTCTCGTCTGACATCATACCCCTGCCAACTGTTCTCGTCAACGTTTCTTATCTAAGATAATAAACTTACCTTACCCTACTCACTGCTTACATAGTACTTTGCCCGCACTTCTAGCATAAGAGTCTATCCTAACTCCTACCTAATTATACCTCTCCAATATTTACCTTTTTACAACTCCCAATCATTGAAACCAAGAACAGTACAGACCATTGAGTTTTGGTTTTCCCTTCCGGTCCTAGTTGATTATTTCATGTTCTTTTTCCTTGTGACGTGCGCAAGGACCTGTGATTGATCTGATCGTGGTGGCTACCAAACAACGCTTTACCTAGAATCGTTCCACGATCCCCTCGCCCCCCGCGTGTGCCTTAATACATACGTACAAGTATATAATCCCACGATTTCGACCCTTTCGTCTCGTCGAATCTTACTTTGGTTAAACTGCTGGTCACGGGGACATATAGTTACGGAATTCTATTCTATTTAAGAGAAGAGCAGGCCGTTGATTACGACGAGATAAAAAAGAAAACCTCCGGAATACCCCCACCGGCCACATTTAAAGCACCCTCGTCAACTGAGCAAGTGTCCCGTCATTTAAGACTCCGTTCCGCTTTTAGTTGTACTCCTTTTTCCTTAAACCCTTTTCACTTCCCATAACGCCTGCGAATTGCTATCACCAACTCGCCATGGCCGATTTACTGACTCCGGGTTTTGCGAAAGCCCGACGCGATGCCAGAGACGGGATTCGCGCAAGTGACGATTGGGGCGTCTACGATGACGCGAGAACGTATTACACCTCCGACGCTCGGCACGGTGATCGATCACACAGGCGCAATCGCACATATTCTCAAGTATGACGTGCCGTATTTTATCGTATTTTCACACAAGGTTGATTCGGAACACTGGCTAAGATCATTTAGAATGGTATCATCCAAGAGATTGAGCGTATGGGACTTCACGAACCACACCGACGAGGTAGTCATGGTACGAAACCACCTTTACGGAATAAAATAGAGGGAAACTAATTCATGTTGTCCAGATGAATCAAGCAGACCACACTCCCGCCAATTCCTCGTCGATGTCGACCACACCCTAGAAAGTTTACAGGCGCAAGAAGATACGGATGGCAACAAGCAAATTACGATTGAGGACGCGGGTCCGAAGGTAAGTTTTTTACTAAGAACTATTCGGCGGTGATAGGTTCTAAAGCGTCATATCTAGGTCATGGCTCTTCGAACCGCTGCATCCGGTGGCCACAATCGATTTGATATCCGGGGCACATACATGCTTTCGAATCTCTTGCAAGAATTATACATGGCAAAAGAGTTTGGGCGAAAGAGGATCATTCTTGATATCGGGCGTCTTAACGAAAACCCAGTCAGCAGACTGTCGAGGCTTATCAAAAACCAATTCTGGGAGGGATTAACCCGTCGTATCGACGCTTCAAGCATCGAAATTGCGGCAAAAGATCCTAAGGATTGGACAGCCGACCCGCGACCTCGCATCTACGTCCCGCCAGGGGCCCCAGAGCAATATGAATATTATCAAAAACTTGCTGCTGAGAGGCCAGAGATGCGACTGGACGTTCTATACCTTCCCGAGAAGATTACCCCCGAAGTGCTCCGAGACATGACCGATAAGCCCGGCCTTCTCGCTGTTGCTATGGAGGAAGTCAATGATCCCAAAACCGGAGAGAAAACATTACGCGGGCTCCCGTTTGTTGTCCCAGGAGGAAGATTCAATGAATTATATGGGTGGGATAGCTATATGGAATCCCTCGGGCTTTTAGTCAATGATAAGGTGTACCTAGCAAAGTCGATGGTACAGAACTTCTGCTTCTGTATTAAACACTACGGCAAGATCCTCAACGCAACTAGATCATACTACCTACTACGATCACAGCCACCTTTCTTGACAGATATGGCCCTTAGGGTCTACGAAAAAATTCAGCACGAACCTGGTGCGGTTGATTTTCTTCGGACGGCATTCCTTGCTGCAATCAAGGAGTACTATTGTGTATGGACAGCGGAACCGCGTTTGGATCCAAAGACTGGTTTGTCGAGATACCGGCCGGAAGGGTTAGGTGTGCCACCGGAGACGGAGGCTTCCCATTTTGTTCATATCCTTGAGCCTTATGCCAAGAAACATAACATGACTTTCGAGCAATTCGTGAGAGCTTATAACCACCAAGAGGTTCACGAGCCAGAACTAGACGAGTATTTCCTTCACGACAGAGCAGTACGAGAGTCGGGTCACGATACCTCGTATCGACTTGAAAAGGTCTGCGCTAACCTCGCCACCATCGATCTTAACTCGTTGATATACAAGTACGAGATGGATATCGCCCGCACCATCCGGAATGTCTTTGGCGATAAGCTAGAAATTCCGGCCGAATGGTGTGCTGGTGACATGGTACCCGGCCAGATTGAAACGTCGGCCACCTGGGACCGTCGCTGGAAGAGGCGACGTGCGGCTATCCACAAGTACTGCTGGAACGAGGAGAAAGGTATGTACTTCGACTACGACACGGTGAAACAGGAGCAATGTACCTATGAGTCGTGCACCACGTTCTGGCCTCTGTGGGCAGGCGTCCCGGATCCCGAGCGTGCGGCCAAAGTGGTCAAGTGTGCCGTGCCCAAATTCGAAGCCTATGGTGGTCTCCTGTCCGGAACGGAAGAATCCCGCGGGGTAGTTAGCCTCGAGCGTCCGAATCGGCAGTGGGATTACCCTTACGGCTGGGCGCCCCAGCAGATGCTGGCCTGGACGGGGTTGTACCGCTATGGTTATGCGGATCTCGCGCAGAAGCTGGCATATAAGTGGCTATTTATGGTTACCAAAGCATTCTTTGACTTCAACGGCGTTGTCGTGGAGAAGTACGACGTCACGAGGCCGGTCGATCCGCACCGTGTGGATGCTGAATATGGAAATCAGGGGCTCGATTTTAAGGGTGTCGCCAAAGAAGGGTAAGTTGAAAATATAAATCACATATAAAGTTGGAAGCTGCGCTTACATTACTGCGCTATTTAGGTTCGGCTGGGTCAACGCGAGCTACGTCTACGGCTTACAATTCATTAACACTGAGATGAAGCGAGCGTTAGGCACGCTTACACCCTACGAGACGTACGAGAGGGCCCAGCAGATTAAAGAGGAGAAGCTACTCCAAGAGCTAGCATGAAATATAACTGCTACACGAAACAAAAATAGGTAATGGTGCCAATTTCTTTCGTTCGGTACTTAGGCATTGCATCGGCATATTTGTCGACATACCGGTCGCGGACAGGCATGCATCTTGTTTTTGCATTAGCTGGGCTGGGTTAGAGGAACACAGGCTGCATTACGCATGCTGATCTGGTGTTGGTATCTTTAAGGCAGGCAAATTCTATTTAGTAACGCTGTGCGAAGTTGACGATGAGTTTATCGCTGATGAAGTTGTTTGATCAAGCTTCTATTTTTAGGGACCAGCCCATCGGGTTAGGTAGATCTAGGTTAGGGGTGTATAATGTTAGCTTTGTTCTTACCTACCTTTACCTATTGAGGAAGCATGTGATTCGACTTGTTTTTTTCTAAACGATAGAACTGACAAGCGATCTATAGTATGTAAGCGTACTCGTGTTATAGAATTTAGAGGTTTGAAGAGGTTAAGTAAAGTAGATGGAGATAAATGTATTATCCTTGAAGAAATAAGAACATAAACATATAGTACTTAAAGATGGACTGGACAGGAATAATTTAATAGTATCAACATGTCAACCTCTCACGTGTAACTCTTATAAGGTTTAAGAGCCGTAGGGGAATCTAGTTGGATGATATGTACCAGGTCTTAATTAAGCTTCCGCAGCCGAGGTCCGGGGCAAGGTGAGGCTGGAGATATGGTCGGGTGTAAACGGGGCATGGGATGGTTTTGCTTTATCTGGGTAGTAGTGTTGTACCTACAGTGTAAGCTTAGTACTTCTTTATGCTACCTAGGTAGTTACCTACCCATCCTAGTTCCCATCCTAGTATCGTCTTAGCTGGGGCGATAACCTAGATAGATCTTCACATGCCAGCGTTTTATTCAGACGCACGAGTATATTATATTCCAGAACAGATTATTGGTATATATAACCATATTTTTGATTTATCCGGTCTATTTTTATGAGATTCAGTACGAACTGAGAAAAGTCAAGTGAACTACATGTAGAATTACTCTTGTATTAAGTATTTGTTGGTCTGCTGCTATTTCACCTCTTTCATCGAGACTCCTACATAAACTAAACGTCATTATCAAATGCTAAATACCAAACCCAAAACCCCAAACCCGGGGCCGGCTCTCCAATTGCGGGGGACTAGGGGTTCGTGTCTCGATGGATCGACCTGGATCGTTCTCCATCTTCGGCAATTCGGCCAATCACGGCAAACCAGACTCACATCCACATGTCTTGGAAACCCTCTCGTCCCTTAAACCGAGAAGCCGTAGTCCTTTCAGACGTCCAAGACAGCTCTAACTGCTGGCCGCCCATATGCTTTGTCTCGTTCCGAGGCGCCCCGGTCAAAGAGTGCTGAGTAGCGGCCAATGGCCTGGCGTCGCCGTTACAGTGACTGGTGAGAGTCACCCTATGACGGAATCATCCATAGCCGCTTGACCGATTGCTGCCGAGAATGCGTATCCGTAGGAGTCATGGTTCTAAGCCGGCTACTCCCCTTTTGTAGCTCAGATCAGATGAGTTTCTCGCGTTAGGTTATGTACTATTACCATAGGTTCGCTTACTTGTAGCCATAGCTCGGAATCTTCTTCCTTTAATAGTAGTCTTGCCCCCTAATCATTCGTTGCTAGTTCACTGCAACTTTCTCCTTGCTTTAGTTCTTGTATCAACGAGTCCACGTGCTTCGATAGCAACTATATACGTACATTAACTCTTTGAAGAGAAGCTCTTTGTTCCGAGGCCCCCCGCACACCACATCGAAGAGTCTTAACATCGTATATCACCACTAGATCCTGTTCCTGTTCCTGTAGTATAGTTGACCTGCTTTGCCCATCATGGCGTCAAACAACATGATCAACCCGGCCGTGGACCCGAACATCGAGGACGAGCTGTTCCTACAAGAAATTGAGGCTGTCAAGAAGTGGTGGAGCGATCCGAGATGGAGATACACGAGGCGACCTTTCACAGCCGAGCAAATTGTTTCCAAGAGAGGTCATCTTAAGATTGACTACCCGAGCAACGCACAGTCTAAGAAGTTGTGGAAGATCCTCGAGGGTCGCTTCCAGAATCATGATGCCAGTTACACATACGGCTGCTTAGAACCTACAATGGTCACGCAAATGGCCAAGTATCTAGATACCGTCTACGTCTCGGGTTGGCAGTCATCATCAACAGCCTCGTCATCCGACGAGCCTGGGCCTGATCTAGCAGATTACCCTTACGTGAGTCGGGATACTCTTACCCCTTTATATATGTTCCAAGTCTATATACTAACACAAAGGGAAGACCACCGTCCCAAATAAAGTCAAGCACCTCTTCATGGCACAGCTATTTCACGACCGCAAACAGCGACAAGAACGCTTAAGCGCACCTAAAGCCGAGCGCGCGAAGCTAGCAAATATCGACTACTTACGACCCATCATTGCTGATGCTGACACAGGTCATGGTGGACTAACGGCCGTCATGAAGCTAACGAAGCTGTTCATCGAGCAGGGCGCCGCCGGCATTCATATCGAAGATCAGGCGCCCGGCACCAAGAAGTGCGGACATATGGCAGGCAAGGTCCTTGTGCCCATCAGCGAGCATATCAACCGTCTAGTCGCGATCCGCGCGCAAGCCGACATCATGGGCACGGATTTAGTAGCCATCGCGCGCACAGACGCCGAAGCCGCGACGCTCATCACCACGAGCATCGACCCGCGGGACCACCCGTTCATCCTCGGGAACACGAATCCGCAGCTGCAGCCCCTGAACGACCTGATGATCGCCGCGGAGCGCGCGGGCAAGACGGGCGAGCAACTACAGGCTATCGAGGACGCGTGGCTGAAGCAAGCCAACCTGCGGCGCTTCGACGAGGCCGTTACCGACACGATTAACTCGGCACCCTCGCTGACGAACAAAAAGGATCTGGTCAACAAGTATCTGGAACAGGTCAAGGGCAAGAGCCTGTTGGAGGCGCGCGCCATTGCACACGGGATCACGGGCGTGGATATCTACTTCGACTGGGACGCGCCGCGCACGAGGGAGGGTTTCTATCGTCTCAAGGGCGGGTGCGATTGTGCGATCAACCGTGCGATTGCGTATGCGCCGTACTGCGATGCGATTTGGATGGAGAGCAAGCTGCCGGATTACAAGCAGGCGGAAGAGTTTGCCGCTGGCGTACACGCCGTATGGCCGGAGCAGAAGTATGTCTATTTGTTCCTCTTGTCTATTGTCCCCTTTTCCAACTTCCCATGTCAAGGGAAAGAAGAAGAAGAAGAAGAAGAAGAAGAAGAAGAAGAAGAAGAAGAAGAAGAAGAAGAAGAAGAAGAAGAAGAAGGAGAAGAAGAAAGCTAACAGCCTTGCACAGACTTGCATACAACCTCTCCCCGTCCTTCAACTGGAAGACGGCGATGCCGCGCGACGACCAAGAAACATACATCCGACGGCTGGCGAAGCTAGGGTACTGCTGGCAGTTTATCACGCTGGCGGGTCTGCACACGACGGCGCTCATCAGCGACCGCTTCGCGCGGGCGTACGCGGCTAACGGCATGCGGGCGTACGGCGAGCTGGTCCAGGAGCCCGAGATGGAGGGCGGCGTCGACGTCGTCAAGCACCAGAAGTGGAGCGGCGCGGCGTACGTCGACGAGCTGCAGAAGATGGTTACGGGGGGCGTGAGCAGCACTGCTGCGATGGGCAAGGGGGTTACGGAGGATCAGTTCCATTAGGTGGTCGTGGGGGCCTAAGCAAGGGGTGGATATGTATACATACCTAAGAGTCTGTGGGGGGTTTAACTAGGGCGGAGAGGCGTGTTGTTGAAAATCACGGCATTAAATAAGTATAGCATATAATAGTTTGCTACGATGGGATGTTGGCGGCTTAGTTTGGGACGTTTAATCGAATTGGATATGAATACTGTATTACGTGTCCTCTCCTTTGGATAAGTCTTTTGCCTCAAGGCCAGAAGTGTATTTTTCCGGAAGGGAGTCACCTAATATTTGTAAATCATACCTCTTTTAGGTGGACGGCCGTTGTGTCGTGGTTTGAATTTTGAATGAGTGGTATTAACGTAAAAGAGCTATCATCCCTACCCCTTGCGTTGGAAAAGTGATGTCGGATTCTCGGGCCTGACAGGGCTGATGATAATTAAGAAAGAAACGACTGTACCCCATTATAATAATTACGACGGGGTATTTAGACATTTTACCCAAGACAATGTTATAATACCTAGTTCCATCATGGCTACATATTCATACTACTCCTTCTAAGGTAACACGGTTGTACACAGCATAGAGATTATAGGTATAATAGTAAAGTTTGTAATCATCTACCTACATAATAAGACTTCAAGATCCAACTAGCTCGACAAGTTTAACCCACAGCATGCTCAAAGGCATCAAGTAGGCAGGTGTTATGTAAACCATAAGGTGAGTATTATACCGTTATCTCCATAGTAACTCTAACATATTTTAATCTTCCAATAAAGGTCCTTGACTAGGCGTAGTCGGGCGTTGAAAGAGGCGTCGGTAGAGGGGACCATAGACTACGACAGAAGTCGCAATAAACCCTGTCATACATTCGATGGTAGAAAGGTAATTAGGGTACATACGATCCCCTGTAGCGATGAGTAGATGTTTAGTTTATTAGATTATACAATTTGTAGACTCACAACTGCCATCTACTATTATTGCACTGGAACCGCTGAAATACTTGATTTGAACGAGACACACTACGCAAGTGCTGCGATATATTAGCAGAGTGAAGCATTATGAAGTGTTTTAACTAACCTGGTACCTATTGTAAATGCGAAAATTAACCCCCATTTCTTCTGCTTGCTTATTTGTAGCCCCCGTATTAGTGGAATAGGCATACTTAGGATTATGACATCAGTGATGATATTTTGAGCGTATGCCACCGATCCCACGATGCTCGTGTTTATACATCTTGCAGGTAATGTTGGGTTCCATAAATGGGCAAGTGGTATGCATTCGAGAAAGATGGTGAAGGTGCTCTGGATTGCGAGTTCAGCTGCCAGTGCTGCTGCTACCCATATTAGGCAACGAAACCAACGCGTGGTCCCAAAAATATTTCTGTATAAGCAGAGAATGCTCAACTTGAGAAAGGTTACGACCGGTACGTAAAAGAAACGAAAAAGGAGGTCCATCTACCAGCAGACATGCACAATCAGCTGTTATTCACTCAGCAACTAACATCCCAAGGTAATGCAAGGTACCGTAGCACCTTTACCCTTACATATAAAACCATAGGATGGATGTAATGTAAAGATATAAACTCACAATGGAGAAGAGACGATGATCGGTAATAAAGATAACATGACGTCCTAATCCGTACCTAGTTGCGAGGCAGCCACAGACAGCATATCCCATTAACGACACCTTGGAAGATTAGCTGTATAACGTCAGAACCAAGGAAGAGACACATACCCACGCCGCCACTGCGAACCAGTCGCTTGCCATAAGATACATACGACCATGCTGTATATGTCGTGACCAAAGACGCAAGGCAACACAGAGGGTACCTATGACCGCAGCGATGGTAGCGCAAGCAATGAAACTAGGACCGCGATTATCATCAGCATGCTCCAGCATCCATGCTATTTCCTCAGCATTGGGAGGTCGTGGCCCGGCCATGTTCTTCAAGATCGAGAGGCAAACTCAGACATGGATAAACAAGCGGGATACAACTATTATCAGTGTAGGTTTATTACACCTGGCCATGAATAGCGAGCGCGCTTCTAAAGCTGGAGGATTGCGATTGCAGATAATCAAGAGTTAAATATTGAAACTACGAGGCTTCTATTCTACCAGGCGCAATACCTACACGGACCGATCGGTATACTCTGCTCCCTGCTCCAAGACATTGAATCAGTCGAGTGTCTTTGTTGCCCCCTCACGGCGTGGCTGGACCTGTTTTTGGTCTAGCATAATTGGTGATAAAGAGTGAATGAGGACCCCTCCTCGGAGAAAAAATTGTCAAGATCTGAGACAACGACGAGAGGTAAGTATATAACGTAGATCGCCCCGAAGAAAGTAATTATAAATGATCACTTATATAACACGAATTCTACGAGCTAAGGTACTCAAGCCGGATTTAAGAAAGAATAGCTATAGTTATAGGTAGTTGTCCTAGTGAACTACTTCGTATTGATTCCTTTTTCGCTTGTCCATTATTTTACTGAGCTTCTATTTTTGAAATAAACCTTACGGTCCGTAATATATCACGGAAGAAGAACCTCTATTACTAGTACACACTATCTTAGTGTATAGTTACGGGTTTCTTGAATCGTACCTATCTAAGTTACTAGACTCCAAGATTTACAGATAGATTAGCTTAATGCAAGTCTTGTTTCTAAGCCTCATTCTTATCTATGTCGAGTCAAATGTTGTCAATGCCGTGTAAAGGTTAGGTATAACATAAGACATAATGGCAAACAAGCAAGAAAAAAAAGAAAAGAAAAAAGAAAAAGAGGTTTGATCGCGTATGCATGATACTCAGTCCATGTCCCGATTAAGAAGTATCCCGAACGAACGGACGGTCAAGCACGCGATTCCGCGGTGAATGTTCGATAGGCCATGGCTACCGTCCCTTGCATGGGCCCGCGCTCAGCGCCAATCACATCCTGTTTAGGTCGTAGATTTATCTCGCGAGAGTGGAGAGCAAGCATTGAGAATTTGGAGTTGACAAGGGTCTTTAATATTGGTCCAACGTCAGCATCCAGGTTCTAGGCGAGATCTTCGCATCATTCCACCCATTCCGACCACGAATCAGAGCTGTCCAAGCTCGGAAGCTGTCTGCCTATTAGAGACTGATTAAGACCCAAATGACGGATCGCGAGCCCAGCCGGCCGAGTAGACACGAGAACGCCAAGTTCTCACCTGCCTTTTTCATATAGAGAGCTCCTAGTGCTGAGCTCTTTTTTTCATCGCGCCGTTCGGTTCGTGCGATAGAAGATACCATAGTAGAAAATGGCAGGATTCTAGCTCTTAGGCATGGTCCAGGTCTATGGAAATTACGCCATGCAATCCCAGGAGATACCGATGTAATCTGTATGCGTGATGTTGATGTTTTCCTTGGTAATACCCCGCCTCGCTTTCCAGCCTTAGCTTCTTTGTTCGTAGCTATTTGATGGTGCCCTGGGCCTTCTCTTTCGTAGAGCTTCTTGTTCAACCTTACCCACCTGTCTCGGTCAAGTTGCCTACCATAAGGTTATAGGTCGGCGTAGAAAGTAGGTTGTCCTCGTTGTGCCAACGTCAAGATGAGGCTTCGATCGCCAGCAGTGGTAGCTTTAGCTGCCCTGCCTACCGTCTTCGGTATCACGCCCGAGTCTATGCTCGCTGCGAACCGTTATGGCGCTGCTGCACCAAACCCCAGCGGTGTGCGTATCCAATGTTCCACGACGGGTTTCACGTAAACACTGACCACTTAAATAGGACTTCGCCCTCTACACTGTCTCAAACTACACGTTTGAGACCAAGAAGAGATCATCGCACTGGAACAAGCTCGACCTGAAGACCGGCGAAATCTCCGTCTGGTATGAGGGCTCTGATATTTCAGAAGTCGTGTTTGTCGGGTCCAAACCCACGAGTATTATCTACGTCAATGGCACGAACGCAGAAGACGACGGCGGCATAAGCTTGTACTCTGCCGATGCCGACTCCCTAGAAGATGCCAAATTGATTACTTCTCTACCCGCACCCTACTCGGGTCTCAAGGCTGTCAAGACCGCATCCGGCGATATTCACTTTCTCATGTATACTAAGGCCTATCCTAACGGTACCGCATACAACGAGGCATCTGCGAGCACACCAGCTAGCACGGCTAGGATCTACACAGAGACTTACGTTCGACATTGGGTGAGTACATCGTCAGGATCGTCAGGAAATTTCATCGGCGTCGGTAACTAATAATGATCCTTAGGACACATGGCTTGATGATAAGAAAAACGCCGTTTTTGGCGGTGTGCTGAAGGAAGACAATGGCTCCTACTCATTCTCCGGGGATTTCACGAACTACGTCTCCGGCATTGCCAATGTCACCCGTGCCGAGAGCCCCTACGATCAGAGTGACGAGAGTGATTACGATATTTCGCCTGACGGCAGCGGTGTTGTCTTCCTGACCAAGGATCCCTCGCTTCCATTAGCTAATTATACCGCTGACGTGATTTACTACGTACCGTTCGATGGCACTTCGAAGGACGCCGTTCCGATCAACGCCAGAGGTACGACGAGGTATCTTGAAGCCCAAGGCGCAGCCACGAGCCCTAGATTCTCGCCCTGTGGAAAGAAAATCGCATACTTCCAGATGAACGGTATTTACTACGAGTCAGACCGTAATATCGTCTACGTTGCCAACGCGGACTCGGAGGATTTTAACGTGACTGCACTTGCGCTAGACTGGGACAGGTCGCCAGACAGCTTAGCATGGTCTAAGGACTCGGAGACTCTCTTTGTCGCCGCTCCAGATCTAGGCCGGGAACGTATCTTCCCTGTTCCTCTTACCGCCGGTGACTCGTATGTACCCAAGAATATCACCAACGAAGGAGTGCCTGCTGCTTTCTACGTCTTGCCTGACGATTCTATCCTCGTATCGGATTCCAAGATCTGGACGAGCCGGGATATCTACACCGTTTCGCCGGAAGGTGATGTTATCAAGACATATTTCCAAGCTAATCTGGTCGACCCTGCTCTTGCCGGCCTTGGACCGGAGGATGTATCCGAGTTCTACTATTCGACCAACACTTCCGAAATCGAGCAGCAAGCCTGGATTATCTACCCAGAAGGCTTCGATGAGAGCAAAACTTACCCGTTAGCTTTCATCACACACGGCGGTCCCCAAGGTGCCCACTTCAACTCGTGGAGTACGCGGTGGAATTTCAAGGTTTGGGCAGACCAGGGCTACGTTGTCATTGCACCAAACCCGACGGCGAGTTCAGGTTGGGGTCAGAATTTGACAGATGCCATCCAGGGCCGATGGGGGCTATATCCATACTGGGACCTCGTCCACGTCTGGGATTACGTCAATAGCACTCTGAAGTATGTCGATACGGAGAATGGTATCGAAGCCGGCGCGTCCTTTGGCGGATATATGACAAACTGGTAAGCTTTTAACTTTCGAAAAGCTAAATGGACCGCATAGATACTAACGGGAACCCCCTTTAGGATTCAAGGACACGAGCTTGGAAGGCGATTTAAGGCCCTCGTGACGCACGATGGCAGCACATCAACGCTGAACCAGTACGCTAGTGAGGAGCTGTGGTTCATGAACCACGATTTCAGCGGTCAATTCAACTCGAGCGGTTTGGTACCGGGCTCGCCGTACTATGAATGGAACCCCGTGTTGTACGTGGACAACTGGGCGACGCCGCACTTCGTGGTCCACAACTCGCTAGACTTCCGGCTGCCTGTTAGTGAAGGCATCCTTCTTTTCAACCTACTCCAATCGAAAGGCGTGCCGAGCAAGCTACTCAACTTCCCAGACGAGAACCACTGGGTCTTGAAGCAGGAGAACAGTCTGGTATGGCACACCGAGATATTCAAATGGATTAATCACTATAGTGGTATTAGTAATTCTTCGAGTCCTTATTAGGGCGAGATGCGATTCATCTGGGATTGAGACAGTTTCGTGAATCCCGTAATACCTACCTACCTAATTAAATTAGACATTATTGTTTGATGAAGCGACATTGTGTGTATGTGACTCGTTACAAAAGTACCTCACTCACATAAAATGACCAGTATGTATGTCCATCTAATACATTACGTCCGGGGTAGTGCCTGATCTAAAAGGTGTTACGGACAACGGAACAGAATTTAATGTTTTTGTCATGTAAGAGTATCGATCCTAAGGTTCCTTCCAGCGGTCTTCTTACCTTACCTTACGTACTTGGCGACTTCCCATTAGTTATAATTTTTAAAGTTCGCTATTTTACCTAACACCAGGTGCGAATCACATGGTTATGTAGTGCAAGTACCTAAAGTAGATGTGCCTACCTCATAATGTAATTGTATTGGTGAAGGTAAGAACCTTATACTGTGAAATACATAGGTAATTTTAGAAATGTTAACCTTTTAGTTGCTGTTTCGCAGCCGCTGCCAACTTTCATTTCTCACCAATAATCCATTCGTTACAGACATTAGCTGTTTCAACAGCTACAAACGAACCTTAAAACCCCCCCACGCTCGCTAACGCTCTTTGTAAATTAGCGGGACCCCAATCCCCAAGGGAAAGGATCACCAAGCTTTTGTCCCTGTAAATGTCCCTGTAAATGTCCCCTGTAGATCAAACAGCGGAATACTCCATCACTCCACTTCATCCAGAACTGCTAGGTACAGCAGAATCTCATCGCCAAGATAAAACTGTCTAAGGTGTTCGTCCAAACCTCAGCTGTCGCATTTCCACAATGCATGGTAATGATCTTCATAATCCACTTACCTACTATGTAGAACCAACAACCCGTACCAAGTAATCAGAAGAGAATGACGACTTTCTTCCCTGTTGGACCACTAAAAATATCCCTCTATGTTGTCCATTGGCCGGGGAGCAACGGAGCCGATACAACACAGTCTCTCGGATTCTTGTTCATTCACACACGTTACTTCGACTTCTGAACCGTACTCGAACATTTTCAGTGACTGACTTCGTTCTACGTCAGTATGTACGGATTATGGGTCCTACGTACGATCCAACATAGCCCCCTCCATCCCACATTGGCTTCTATGTATCCAAGCTGACCAAGTAGAGCATAGAATACGATGGGATATGCTCTTGGTTGCGATCGAGTATTGCCGTACACTTCCTCGGCTTCGCCGTTGGAATCATGTCCAGTTTATTCACTCCACATTCGACGCTATGGATCGAGCGAGCGCCAGCAATAATCTTATATGTGACAAAGCCAACCGCATATCTTCCTTTCTACGTCAAGTGATATTACGGAGGAACTGTTTCGGATGCTCGTAATCTGCATGACTAGTCAAGAAAAGTAAAGAACAACAGGATTAGATCACTTATGTACATATGTATGTACATATGACAGCCGCTTCCCCTCGACGATCGGTATCCTTCGAGGCCGGGGTACGCAACATGATCTTCATCACAAGTGGTCCGTGACGGCTGCGGCTTGAGGTGGACAAACAGAAACGACTCGGGTAATGATTTCTTATTCTCGTTGCTGTATACTCAGGGGCTTGGTTACTTGTCGAAAATCCCTACTTCGTAACCGCGAGCGGTACTCCTACCTAAACTTTCTTCACTTCTTTTACTACATTGCCGGACAATGAATGGTTATGCGGTATCGAGGGCCTCGCTCTCCCATGAGGAGAAGCTGTCTCTCATCGACGATAGATCTCTCTCAGATGTAGACAGTGAAAGTGCTCGCGCGGATCTCGACGGTCGTTTCTCGGGTATACAATGGGCTGCCACAGCAAAGACCTACTGCAACGGCCTACGCTTATCATCATGGAGCTCGTCGATACTTCGAACAGGCATATTTCTTTTGCCTAGCTTTGTTCACCACCGGTGTGCTCGCGAGCGGTTTCGAGCAGAGAAGCTTCACCCTACCGCGTACCTCGACGGAATGCGAGGCCTAGCTGCGTTGTTTGTCTTTTTTTGCCATTACTTTTACTCTGCCTTCAGGATAGCAGAAGGCTGGGGCTTTGACGACGCCAACTACGAAATATGGCGACTACCGTTCATCAGGCTCCTCTACAGCGGACCGTCCATGGTCTGCATATTTTTTGTTATTTCAGGATACGCCCTTTCATTAAAACCACTTAAACAAATCAGAAGTCGTTCTTTCGATGGTTTCTCACAAACCATGACCTCATTCGTCTTCCGTCGCTTCTTTCGTTTGTACCTCCCGCCGATGATCTCGACCTTCGGCGTGTTGATCCTACTTCGCTTCGGCTTCTACGAGATCACTAGAGGCTATTCCAGTGATCGGAAATACATACACAATGTGATAGAGCATCATCCCATTTTAGAAGAGACTACCCAGAAACAACTACGTCACTGGATGAAGGAGATGTACAATTTCGTTCACATCTGGGGTTGGGAGAAGTTTGGTGGCGCGACCGGATACGATGTCCACCTCTGGACGATTCCAGTGGAGTTCCGGTGTTCAATGATGCTCTTCCTAATAATATTCGGCACAGCTAGATTACGGACCGGCGTACGATTTCTCTGCCTCTCCTTCCTTATGTGGTTTATGCTTCGTAGCGATCGATGGGAAATGGTTCTATTCCTCTCGGGGACGGTGATCGCCGAATTAGACCTAATCCGCGGAGCCCACGATTCGAACACTCAATCGTCTTCTCCCTTGACGTTACTCCCACTCGAAAAGACACCAGACACTGTCCCTGAAAAACGGGGCCCGTGTAACTACCTATGGATTTTACTTTCCATCCCGGCTCTCTATCTGATGTCGGGTCCGGACGCCGGACCCGCTGGCGTACCCGGGTGGAAATACCTCGGGACGCACATTCCGGAGTGGTTCTCGGATAAGTACCGGTACTACCAGATGATCGGATCGATCGCATTCGTGTTTTGCGCAGCGCGATCGATCTCCTGGCAGCGTTTTTTCAACTCGCCCGTTGTACAATACTTCGGGCGCATTAGCTATGCGCTCTACCTTATGCACGGCCCTGTCACACACACCATCGGCTTCATGATACAGAAACGCGCCTGGGATTTCACGAGCACAGACGGTTCCATGTATAACTGGGGCTGCGTGCTCGCGGCTACTTTCAACATCCCGCTCGTCATCTGGGCTGCGGATGTCTTCTGGCGCGCTGTAGACGCGCCGACGGTTAGATTTACAAAGTGGCTTGAGACTAAGCTATCTATCGAGTAAGGAGGGTTATATGTGACACGTAGGAGTGCCGCGGGTACGGTTTGCTTTAGGTTTATGTGTAAATAGGTTATTGGGCATTTAATAAATTACTGTAGTAATAGGGCTTTGCTACTCTGTGCTGTGGTCTTATTATTCGTTCCGTAGGTAGTTAGACTACCTAATGATATTCTGGTAAAGGCTAGTTATTGGATTACGTTGTAGACTAACGAATATGTATTTTGTTCGTGATATTAAGTCCTTTAACCCCGATTTAAGGATCTGATATATCCAGATCAAAGTCTAAATGAGGATATCGGAAAATGTTAAGACTGGACGTGCTATTCCCGGCCAGGATAAACGGGTAGGAAATACTCGCAATCGTATTATGTGTTAATGATTATTATCCATGAATTAGAATAACTATTATGAGCTGAGATACACATCCTACCAAGGTAACAAACAATATTGATCAATTATATATCTTGTCATGGTTACATGTTTTCTATCTCAAGATATTCATATCTACTAGTTAAAGGATATTGAAATGTTAGCATCATCGCTAATTCGTAATCTTCCTGGAATATAGGGTGAAATAAGTAATGAGTAGTAAAGAACAGTATATGGATTAGGTACCCAAACGTCTCGCAGCAAGCATTTGTGTAAACTAGCAATACGAGACAGGCGAGATAGAATGATATCAGCAATAACATATAACAATATGCTAGGTTGGAGATTTACCGCTGTAAGTGGCCAGCATAATTACTAGCAACTTAATATTTGAGTTAGAGCTAAGCTACCGAGTCCAAACGTTCTAATTGTGGTCAGATCTTCCGTACGGCGAGTTCCATTTCTTCGCACAGAAGTGTCTGAGCACGATCCGCAATACTTTGACTGCGGTTAGGAACGCTAGGTAAGGTGCCTATAGTTTTCTAGGTTAGATTTCCGAGAGCGCTCGGGAAGTGTACTTGTATTATTGAGCTTAATTAGACTTAATCTTCTGCCCCTTTCCTTCTAATAAGTCAAAGAAAACTGCTGGCTGTCGGTAATAACATTGGGCTGGACGGCCGTGTTATTACTATGTTATTATTAGTGATTGTTATATTAAAACATGAATTCCGGAGAAACAGGGACTCTTGATTACACGTGGATGTTTCTACTATTTACCACGTTGGACAAACGATATATACATAAATCCCATCACGCTGCTATTGCTCATCGAAGTGATCGGATGTACATTGGACTTGACCTAGAGCCAATTGCTTATCCACGAAGAGAAATATACTATCGCGGATACGGCGGAATCGTGAGACTCGAACAATGGGTTTTATATTGATTGACCTTGGTCTATAGGAAAGCAAGCAGCAAAAGTTCCGGGACGCCCTCTCAGGACAACAAGGAACCGATGTCATAGTACTCAACGCCTCAAAATGCTTGCCAGTGCTACCATGCAATGTCCCCCTTCCAATCCTAATTCGAACCCCATTAACTTCGTCAAGCGTCGTAGCTGCTGTGCTGCGTGTCTCGTATCCCCATCCCCATCCCCATCCGAGGAGCAAGATGAGTGAAGCAGGTATATCAAGAAATGTGTAGTGGCTGTTCTTGATCAGTTATGCCGACTCCTCTTCCCTTCCCTTCCGAACATGTCTTTTCCGAATGGTATGTCGCCTACGTTGAATAGCTCGGCGAAGTTGATCGTTCGCTTCTGACCAGCCCCTTTTCCGAGATGATTCGTAGGCCTTGGCCTGGGTCCTCGCTTGTTGGTGCGCGAGCGAGTCGGGTGAGCGATGGGGACGGCGGAAGACCCTGGGCTAGCGCCATCATTCGTCCGAGTCGAATCTGAGAGGTCCAGGTTCTCCAAATTTAGGTATGGTTCTTGGGGGTATGGGTGTGACGCCCGAAAGGTGAAACTGTCCTGAGTCGGAACGGAAATCATTTGCTGTTCCCCCGCAGGAGAGTTGACGGTCGACTGATGGGCAGACGCGGAGACAGACTCTGGCTGCAAGTGGGGTTCGTTCCGCATCGCGGACATATGCGTTTGGCTACCGGAATGGTGGATTTCGGGTGATGATGCTGGTTCGGGCTTTTCTACTTCGTCCTCGCTCTCCACCGTTTGGGGCGATATGTCTCGTCCGTCTAGACGCTCAGTCGCCCACTTCCGGATTAGCCACCCTTCGCCGTCGCTGACACCAATGTTCGACTTATCAAGAAAGGCCAGGAGGTCATCCAAGCAATCTTGGTATCCATCGGCCCGGGCTTTTGTCTGGGCGGCGACTGAGGTTTTATAGAGCTTTGTAACGGATAACGCTGCGGCCTTGAAGGAATCGAGTAGTTGTTCGGGTGACTCACAACCCGCGCTGTTCTTGGCTGGCGAAGACCCCCTCAATGCGTCCATTGTAGAATTATGATGTATGGTTGACCGGCTGGTCGGGCAGTTTGACATAGATGTGCTCGAACGGAAGGAATTCGAAGTTGATTCTAGCGAGAATATAGCCGTGGAATAGGATAGTAGTCAAAAGGATTCAAGTTGGATCTTGCTTGGTCTTTTTCTGCGTCGGGTTTGGTGGGGGTGTGGATTAGTTTGTGGGTCGAAGCCGGTAACAAATGGAAGATGCAGGTTACGTCGTATTGCCTGGACCGACTTGACGACTTGTGATGACCTTATTAGGGCAATGAAACAATAAGATAATGAAACTGACGAGTCAAGTTATTGTAGCAAAGATGAAAGGCGTATATTGGTATAGGTATATTAAAGACAGCAAGCTTGCGAGATTCGAAATGCTACGTGTTGCGGTATTCGTATGCGGTTCGTTGTTGTTGGGTCCTTATTCCCTGAGCCTTAGAGCCTTAGAGCCTTAGTCTTAAAGCCTTAGAACCTTTGAGTCAGATGATTCCGGATTGATGACCAACAGGGTCTTGGTGGCTACCTAGTTATGGATCTTGGGACTACCCGGCTGACAGGTAGACCCGAACTAACATTTGAAAGAACTAACCAACTACCTAATTTACTTAAGGTTACCTACCTACATACATATGTAACCTAAGAGGTTAGTTTTGTAACACTTTCCTTTAGTCAAGTACGTACATATGTACCTACCTATCATGTACATTACCTTGTAGGTGATCTTATATAAGCATGCCCGGAGGTGGATTAGAACAATATGTCCGACTCACAAGGACAGTACTAATATTTTTTGCAGGCAAATCCCCGGGTACTGCACCGGTTTCTGTCTAGAAATGGCATCTGAAAATGGCACCGGCCCGTCAGGAACCCAACCAATCAATAATACGAAAATCTTTAGAGGACAAGATAATGTCACTGCATGCTACGGTTAAGTACGTAATGACATATAAATGCATATACGATATTACATACCTATGTATTGAAAAGTTGTGAGGTGAGTATCCGTGGGGTTGGAAGAATATGTACCTAGGTACTTTATCTTCTAGGTAGTTATTAGGTACATACCTACCTAACTTAAGGTAAGCTTGATATGTACCTCTTAAGCTACTCCCTGTAATAGATTTTCTGTTATTTAGTGTTAATCGTGAGAGGAATGATTACGAAAAGAACTTTAAATTCATAAGACGGAGACCTGGGAAAGATTACAAATTTAAGAAGTTCTACTGAAAAAGAGTACCTTAGGTACACAAGTTCACCCTTGTCCGTTGCGGCTACCTTAGATTTCAATTTGTCGAAGCTTAAGTATCGACGCCCCACTATAGGTCCACTTTTAACTAGAGATACTCTTGCCTGTGATCTAATTTCTATTCGACGGCTCTTTTCTACCTTCACTACATTCACACAACCTTTTCAACTCCAATCCAGCCTCAAGCACATCTGTTCTTGTCTCTGGCTGCTTTATTGCCGACACTGTATTTTGAAAGTCCACATATCAAAGGGTTTAGCAACCTTGGACTAGGCCACTTTGTAACGCTGGTTTTACTTTTGCACTAGGCGTCGTCTTAATTTGTCGCGTCGCAGTCGCGTAGAGCACTTATCGCGATACATCTCTCAATATGGCTCCGCCTCGCCCTCGGGCCAGTGCGGCCGATACAGACGCGTCAATGTCCGATGCGCAAGAGCCTGTGTCTAACCACGTCGAGGAAATGGTAAGTTTTAAGTCTATAAAATTCCGATAGTATTCCACTTGCTCTGTTGAGCCACTACTTCTCATCCGTCGTCAGCGCCGATACTAACTAGCCTATAGGATGTTGATGAAACACCAGATCAGACCGACACAGATACCAATCCCAATACCACTGCAAGTAGTGTTGCCGGTGACCAGATCGCCGCCGATGGTCGAAAGAAGCGCTCAGAAGCCAACCAGCTTCGAAGAAGCATATTTGGCAAGAAACATGACTTGTTAGGCGAGTCTAAGGTATGAAACAATCTAAACGTATCAATTAAGATAAAAGTAAAGCTTAATCAGCTTGCTAACTACAATACAATAGGAGGATGACAGCATTCGAAGATTTCGCTACTTGTTAGGATTGACCGACCTCTTCCGACATTTCATCGAAACGAACCCTAACCCCAAAATCCGCGACATTATTCACGAGATCGACCGTCAAAACGAGGAAGCCGATAAATTAAAGAAGAAAGGCATTCGTCAGGGTGGCGCAGAGACTGGTCGAGCTCGTCGTACAGAAGCTGAGGAAGATGAAGAGCTACTCAAAGATGAAAAAGAAGGTGGATCCGCAGAGACTGTATTCCGCGAATCGCCAGCTTTCATTCAGGGCACAATGAGAGACTATCAAATTGCTGGGTTGAATTGGCTCATTTCTCTGCACGAGAACGGAATCTCGGGCATTCTTGCGGACGAGATGGGTCTGGGCAAGACACTGCAAACCATTTCCTTCCTAGGATACCTTCGTCACATCATGGATACCAAAGGTCCTCACCTGGTCATAGTGCCGAAGTCTACTCTCGATAACTGGAAGCGCGAGTTCTCTAAGTGGACACCCGAAGTCAATGTCCTAGTTCTACAAGGTGCTAAAGAAGAGCGACATAACCTAATCAACGAACGTTTAATTGACGAGAAGTTTGATGTCTGCATTACGAGTTACGAGATGATTCTTCGTGAGAAGGGGCATTTGAAGAAATTTGCCTGGGAGTACATTATCATCGACGAAGCTCACCGCATCAAGAACGAAGAGTCGTCTCTTTCACAAGTCATCCGCTTATTCAACTCTCGAAACCGACTTCTTATTACTGGAACGCCCCTGCAAAACAACCTTCACGAGCTCTGGGCCCTTCTAAACTTCTTGTTGCCTGATGTCTTTGGTGACAGTGAAGCCTTCGACCAATGGTTCTCTGGGCAAGATGCAGATTCGGAAGTGGTTGTTGAGCAACTCCACAAGGTCCTACGACCCTTCCTCCTACGTCGAGTTAAGGCGGATGTTGAGAAAAGCTTGTTACCGAAGAAGGAGATCAATCTCTATCTCGGCATGTCGGAAATGCAAGTGAAATGGTACCAAAAAATCCTAGAAAAGGATATCGATGCTGTCAATGGTGCCGGTGGCAAGCGGGAATCTAAGACTCGACTACTTAATATTGTCATGCAGCTAAGAAAGTGCTGCAATCATCCCTATCTTTTTGAGGGAGCTGAGCCTGGCCCGCCTTATACGACCGACGAGCATCTGGTATACAATTCAGGCAAGATGGCTCTACTCGACAGGCTCTTGCGAAGATTGCAGAAACAGGGCAGTCGCGTTCTAATCTTCTCACAGATGAGTCGTCTCTTGGATATTCTTGAGGACTACTGTGTATTCCGTGATTTCAAGTACTGCCGGATTGATGGAGGCACTGCTCACGAAGATCGTATTGCGGCAATCGATGACTACAATAAACCGGATTCGGAGAAGTTCATTTTCCTCCTCACGACTCGAGCTGGTGGTCTTGGAATCAATCTGACGAGTGCCGATATCGTTATCCTCTATGATAGCGATTGGAACCCCCAGGCTGATCTGCAAGCTATGGATCGTGCCCACAGAATTGGGCAAACCAAGCAAGTAGTTGTCTACAGATTTGTCACAGAGAACGCCATCGAGGAGAAAGTTCTCGAACGAGCAGCGCAGAAGCTCCGCCTTGACCAATTAGTTATTCAGCAAGGACGTGCTCATCCAGGAGCCAAGGGTCCAGCAGCTAAAGATGAGCTCCTTGATATGATTCAGCATGGTGCAGAGAAAGTTTTCCAACAAAAGGGAGCTACGGGGATGGCTGCTAAGGGTACAGAGCTTAACGACGAAGATATTGACGAGATCTTGACCAAGGGCGAGAACCGTACCAAGGAACTCAACGCCAAGTATGAGAAGCTTGGTATTGATGATCTACAGAAATTCTCTTCGGAGTCGGCCTATGAATGGAATGGCGAAGTGTTCGGGAAAAAGAAGGACATTGGCGTGAATTGGATCAACCCCGCAAAGCGGGAACGCAAGGAGCAATCCTATTCCGTCGACAAGTTCTACAGACAGGCTATCTATGGTACTAGCAAGGCGGAAGCTAAGCCTAAGGCTCCCCGAGCGCCAAAGCAGGTCGCAGTCCATGATTACCAGTTCTACCCCCCGCGACTCCGTGACCTCCAGGATCGAGAAACCGCGTTTTACCGTAAGGAGATTGGTTACAAGGTCCCCTTACCTGACGGCGACGAAGACAATCTATCGGAACGAGAAGCCGAACGTGCCTTAGATCAACAGGAGATTGATAACGCTACTGCCCTCACCGAGAAAGAACAAGAAGAGAAGCAGACATTGTCGCTTCAAGGTTTCGGCGAGTGGAACAAGCGTGACTTCCAGCAGTTTATCAATGGCTCTGGCCGCTACGGACGCCATGACTATGAAAGAATTGCTGAAGAAGTTGACAGCAAGACTGCCGCCGAAGTTAAGGCCTACGCTAAGGTTTTCTGGCAACGATATACCGAAATCGCAGATTACAACAAGTACTTGCAGGTGATTGAATCCGGGGAGGAGCGTATGCGCAAGACGGAGCATCAGCGCAAGATGCTCAGGAAAAAGATGCAACTATATCGAGTTCCACTCCAGCAGATGAAGATTAATTATTCCGTGTCTACGACGAACAAGAAGGTCTACACCGAGGAAGAGGACAGATTCCTTCTAGTAATGCTGGACCGATATGGAGTCGATTCCGAGGGTATCTACGAGCGAATTCGTGATGAGATTAGAGAAAGTCCTCTGTTCCGATTCGATTGGTTCTTTCTTAGCAGGACGCCTATTGAGATCAGCCGCCGCTGTACTACACTGCTCACTACGATTGTGAAGGAGTTCGAGGATGCACACCCGACCAAGACAAATGGGGTCAACGGCAAGGGAAAGAGAGAGCCCGATGACGAGGAGAATGATGAGGACAGCATCCTTGGAATGGCCCCCGCCAAGAAGAAGTCAAAGACCGGTGTCAAGGTATGCTATTAATTAATTGGTAATCATAGCTTAATTCGGACCGACTACTAACACAGAAACAGAACAAGGCCCTCGACAACGTCAAAGGTGGCGGTAGTAAGACTACTTCTGCTACGCCGTCCACTCGCGCGTCCAGTGTGGCTTCTACCAACTCAACACCCGCGGCCAAGTCCAAGTCCAAGGGAAAGAAGAAGTAAGCGGCTGTCGCTGATTAAAAAGGAGCGGACAAGATGTTTTTTGGTTGGCACTTCTTTCGTAGACCTTGTTTTCACAATGGCATCATCGGACTATGGAACGGCAAGGGGAGTACGTGTACAGGCGTTTTTATTGGTTGCTTTCGTCACCGGACGATGAAGTCCACGAAATTAAGCTGTCTCGATAGATGGTCTAAAATGTTATCCAGTTCCCTATAGGGTCTGGCGAAAATGAAAGTCAGGGGGTGTTTGTACCAAAGCTTGACAGCGGCGGTCAGGATTGGACAGAGGTAGCAGCATGTTGCACTTACAATGTAAAGAAGGAGCCACGACATAGCTATGAAAGTGCTTTTCGAAAGGTTTGCCGTGTGTACGTACGTAGCTAACCTAGTCCTTATGTGATATTGCGAACCATTCATAGTATCGTTACTGACAAGTGATACCATTCCTACGCATATTTCAATATTGTCATTTCAGGATGATGGCCATCTTGCTACGCTAGACCAATAATCAAAAGTAATATTGTGTCTTAATCAGGTATATTGGTTAGAAGCCTCGAGCTACTCTCTGCCTCCTTATACCTAATCCGGAGCTCTCATTTATTTTTCTCTTTCCTACCTAAGCGACGAACAAAAACTGTCGGACAAAACCCTCAAACGCCGAAGCCTTTCCCGGATGGATGGATGCAAGTTCTGGCTAGAAGAACGCGGAATAATAAAAACGAGGACACAACGCCGGATATCTTCCATCCCTCCCTTTCTCTCTCCCACTTTCTACCTCGTAGCAACGATCAACGCGTGTACGTATATACGCCACGACGGAGCGGCGGGATGATTCGGGGAGGAAGAATATGCGGGGCTAGAAGAGCTATACGCTACGCGCGTGTTCTTATTATAGCCTGTTGTCGCGCTCGCGCTCGACCTCGTACCGGAAGTCGAAGTATCCCTTATCGAAGTGGTGGATACGTACATAACCGTCTTCTCCACCGCTGGCGTAGCCCTTGCCTGTGGGGTCCGCTGCTACAGTGTTCTATTGGGTTGTTAGATGTGATTTCTGAGTACTCTAGGCTGGGTAAAAGGTAAAACGTACCAAAGGTCCGAAATGGCCCCTTACACGACCGATCTCATCCTCGAAAACCTTGTGGTAGAAACGCGCCTCGAATTTTCCTTGGCGAGCTGCGGTCGTGGTGACGTCCATGGCGGCCTGTCCACCACCTAGGATAACGTAGTCCTTATTCGGGGTAATGCATGCGCTGTTAAGGGGGGTGTCCGTCACGTAGGTCTTGAGGGGCTCGAGGTCGCGCGCGGCTATCAGTCGGGCGGTCTTGTCCTTGGAGGCTGTGATGAAGTAGGTGCGGTCGGGCGACCACTGGAGGTCTGTCACTTGCATGTTGAGCTCGTGGATGGGGACATTATCGAGTAGCTCTCCAGTCTGTCAAGGTGGCATTTGTTAGATCTCGTCATCCATCCCTTTACATATAATAGCTGGCTTCGCGGCTTACCTTAGCGTCATACTGCGATACGGAACCATCCTCATGTCCTGCGATGATGTACTTGTTTAGGTAGCTCCAGCCGGCAACGGTAGCTTTGCTCTCATCACACACGATGGTCAGGACGCGCTCGTCGCTCTGCTCGGCGTCAACTTCTAACACGACATCTAGAACCACGATAGTTCCGAGATGACCCATGCGCTTCTCGGTGACGCCCAGCAGCTGGCGACCATCGTCGCTGAACTCGACGCGCTTGACAGCAGTGGGAAATTCCCAAGTCTTGAGGCAACGGCCGGTCTTGATCTCCCACAGGCGGATGGTGTTGTCGGCGCTACCGCTTGCGATGAAGGTCGACGTCGGGTCTACATCTACGGTCCATATAGCACCCTGGTGGCCCTTATATGTACCTAACCGTTCGCCATTATGCGAAAACCACACGCAGATCTGCTGGTCCTTGGATACGGAGAATAGCAGGTCGCCATCGGGGTTGTATCTATAGAGGGGAAAAGCGGTTTAGTTAGTCTAGCGAACTTGTCGCGGGGCAAGGTTCTGTTTATGCTAAGAGAAGCATACCTAATTTGGGTCAAGGCCCTTTCCTATAGAAAATTGTTAGAGGGCATCATATACGATATCAGGAAAAGTGATCTCTTACGTGGCCTGACAACAGAATAGGTCTCATATTGGCGGTGTTCTGATCTGTATCTCGTCACCAATCTTGAGGTTGGTTGTATGGAGTTTTTGAATGATTTGTGCGTGGGGCAAGATTTCGCGGATTTTCTGATAACCTATCAGCATCTGGACCCCACCAACGTTACTCATCGTCACGTGAGGGGCTATACAAAGGCTTGGGATTCGTGGTAGCCAATCATGATTTGTAAAACAGCACTTATCCCAGTAGGTACCTAGGTAGGTACCTAACCTAACCTAACCCTGATAAGTTTATCATGTACCTAAATTTAATCTCATCTACGCATGTACATAGACGTACCTGTCTTAGGTACCAAGCACTTTCCATGTTGCAATGAGAATTAGATGAGCAGAATATCAGGTGAAGTGGATTGCTGCTTCCGTATGAAAAACAGGCTAGACTACGCGATCAGGACAACGTTTGAGTCATCTCAGATAAAGAGAAATTTTAAGCTTAGAGCTCGGTAGAGGGAAAGTGAACTTCTCGCTAAATAAGAAAACTTGTAGTGAGCCACAAAAATGCCTCTTATACATACATGAACATGCACTTATAGACAATGGAAGCTGTATCCTACCACTCCTATTTTGCTTCGAATATATCATATTATTTATTATCTATTTTATAGGTGATCTTTGTTTGATTCCTATTATGGGTTATTTACCTAGTTAGCTACATCTTTTATTTCTTATGACCATTTATTATTTATAACTACTCGATGTTGTGGGCATTAACAATCGATTCGATTACTGTTACTTCAGATCCTTCTGGATTACTGACACTGGTATTGTAGTAATTGTACAGTACTTATCAGCAAACTATCGTATAACTTGCTAGCTTTGGGACTAGCAGCTATGACTCTAGCCATTGCAAGCATCAGTCGATGCCACTACAATTTTCACCCTCTTCCAAGTCTAAGTCCAAGGCCAAGGCCAAGTCCATCCGCACAATTCATACTTCGGCCGGTCACACGCGTTACTACTAGATTCGTTATAACCCGGCCGACTAAAACTCCGCTTTGCGGGTCCCGAAAAGCCTGCAGCTTGTCAAATTGCTTGTCTAATAGTTGCGAGCTCCCATTTGCGGTTCCGGTCCAAGCGAATCGCTTATATTTCGCTCCCCGGATTTCAGCTTACTCTCAACAACGTGCCCGACTCATCACGTCTGCAAATACCCGTCGAGGGTTGTATCAGCTGTGTTGCACAAGAGCAGGCTCATCTAATTACGCCTCAGTGGGAACGGCGCAACGGCATTGGCCACTTGTCTCATTATCGCATTTGTCGCGTGTCTCTAATAGACATTTTTCAACGAGCTACCCCACCATGACTGCGATTAGGTTAGATGGCACAGCCATTGCAAAGAAGATCCGCGAGGGACTGGCTGTTGAGATAGTCGAAAAGCAAAAGTCCAACCCCAAGTACCAGCCATGCCTCAAGATCATCCAAGGTTTGTAATTGCTATACCTCCATACTCCATACTCCATACTCCGTACTTCCATAATTCAGACATAATAGGTACTAACCTTGTTACCTCGTATAGTCGGTGATCGATCTGATTCTTGTATGTCTTAATCCGGGGTTTCTGACTCAACCACCGTAAGCAACCTGTGCCGCAGCTAATTCTCTCACCAGCAACTTATGTTCGCATGAAGCTTAAGGCCGCTCGAGAGGTAGGAATTTGAACTTCAGCATAATGCCCCACGTATAATACCCCTAACCTAACCATTGTGACTCATGAAAGGCCAATATTACCTGCGACCTCCTGCATTTTCCTGAGGATATTACCGAGGCCGAGCTCTTGGCACAGCTACACGTCTTAAATAATGACTCTGCCGTGTCCGGCGTCCTAGTTCAGCTGCCCCTGCCCAAGCATGTCGACGAGTACACCATTACCTCCGCCGTCGCAGATGAAAAAGATGTTGATGGTTTCGGTACCAGAAACATCGGTGAGCTCGCCAAGAAAGGTGGCCACCCATTTTTTATCCCCTGCACTCCCAAGGGAGTCATGGTCCTCTTAGAGGAAGCAGGCGTGGACCTGAAAGGCAAGGATGCTGTGGTTCTTGGCCGAAGCGACATTGTCGGTAGCCCGGTCAGTTATCTGTTGAAGAACGCTGACGCAACCGTCACTGTCTGCCATTCTAAGACCGAAGGCATCGAGGAGAAGCTAAAGAAGGCAGATATCGTCGTTGCCGCTATTGGTCAGCCGGCCTTCGTAAAAGGAGAATGGCTCAAACAAGGCGCCGTGGTTATCGATGTAGGAACCAACTACGTCCCTGACGCATCTAAGAAGTCAGGCCAACGGCTGGTAGGTGATGTAGAATTTGAGTCGGCCTCCCAGGTCGCTTCCTATATCACACCGGTTCCCGGTGGTGTGGGACCTATGACGGTTGCTATGCTATTGCAAAATGTTGTCAATGCAACTTCCATGTATTTCGATCGACAAAAGCAGAGGCGTATCGTCCCGCTTCCTCTCAACCTGCGTACTCCAGTCCCCTCTGATATCGAGGTTTCGAGGTCACAGCCGCCGAAGCCCATTACGCGAGTCGCAGAAGAGGTCGGTATTGCGCCTCATGAGTTGGAACCCTATGGCGCATATAAAGCCAAGGTGGACCTCACCCTTTTAAAGCGTCTAGAACATCGACAAAATGGTCGATACGTCGTAGTTACAGGTATCACTCCCACGCCGTTAGGTGAAGGGAAGTCCACTACGACCATGGGCTTGGCCCAAGCACTAGGTGCGCATTTAGGTCGAATTACCTTCGCCAATGTCCGACAGCCGAGTCAAGGTCCTACCTTTGGCATCAAGGGAGGTGCAGCTGGCGGTGGGTATAGTCAAGTTATACCCATGGATGAATTCAATTTGCACTTGACTGGTGATATCCATGCTATCACCGCAGCGAACAACCTTCTTGCCGCTGCTATCGAGACTCGTATATTCCACGAGAACACGCAGAAGGATGGCCCCCTTTATCGAAGATTGACGCCGGCAAAGAACGGAAAGAGGACTTTTGCGCCCGTCATGTTCCGCCGATTGAAGAAGCTAGGAATTGACAAGACTGACCCTGAAGAGCTCACCGAAGATGAGATCCATCGGTTCGCCAGACTAGACATCGACCCGGAGACTATCACTTGGAGGCGCGTACTAGATGTTAACGACCGCCACTTGCGCGGTGTCACTGTTGGTACTGCGCCAACTGAAAAGGGGCAGAGACGAGAGACCGGGTTTGATATTTCTGTTGCCAGCGAGTGTATGGCTATTCTAGCAATGAGCACGAGTCTTTTCGATATGCGAGAAAGACTGGGTCGAATGGTCGTCGCTACATCGAGGTCAGGAGACCCGGTCACTTGTGATGACATAGGAGCCGGCGGTGCATTGACAGCCCTTATGAAGGACGCCATCAAGCCAAACTTGATGCAAACATTGGAGGGAACTCCCGTATTTGTGCACGCCGGTCCTTTTGCTAACATTAGTATTGGGAATAGCTCTATCCTTGCCGACAAGATGGCGCTCAAGTTAGCAGGTACAGAGCCCGATGAGGATCACAACGCCAAGGCAGGATTTACTATCACTGAAGCTGGTTTCGACTTCACTATGGGAGGTGAGCGATTCTTCAACATTAAGTGCCGTGCCTCTGGCCTAGTACCCGACGTAGTCGTCATCGTTGCTACGGTTCGCGCCTTGAAGGTGCATGGTGGTGGCCCACCCATTGCTCCCGGTGCGCCGTTAGACCCTGTGTACAAGCAGGAGAATGTTGAGATCCTCCGAAACGGTTGCGTGAATCTCAAGAAGCATATCGAAAATGCCAAAGCCTATGGTTGCCCCGTTGTGGTTGCTATAAATAAGTTTGCTACTGATACCGATGCTGAAATTGCTGCCCTACGAGAGGAAGCCATTGCTGCCGGTGCCGAAGACGCCATCCTAGCAAACCACTGGGCCGAAGGTGGTAAGGGTGCCGTAGATCTTGCTAAGGGAGTCATTGCTGCTTCTGAAAAGCCAAAGGACTTCAAGCTACTGTATAATGTGGATGAGGGCACTATCGAGCAACGCATGGAGAGTATCTGCCAGAAAATGTACGGCGCATCCGCCGTTGAATTTAGCGAGCTTGCCCAAAAGAAGATCGACACATACACGAAACAGGGCTTTGGAAACCTCCCAATATGCATCGCCAAGACGCAATATTCGCTCTCCCATGACCCGAATCTTAAGGGTGCGCCGACCGGCTTCACCGTTCCAATTAGGGATGTGAGGATGGCCGCAGGTGCAGGATATCTGTAAGTGTATTAGTATGTTCCCGTATAGACAAATAAGCTAAACATGAGTAGGTACGCTCTTGCTGCTGATATCCAGACAATTCCTGGCTTGCCCACTGCTCCGGGGTACCTGAATGTCGATGTTGACACGGAGACAGGAGAGATTGATGGACTCTTCTAGATGCTAGACAGTCATCGGTGTCTGCTTATACACATTCTTTATAAACAAGACCTAGCGTAGATGCGGTACGAATAGATATCAACTAGCTAGACGGAGAACTCTATGCATTTAGATAGCTTCAGTGGATTCAACCACGTAGGAGCATCGGGACAGGAGAGGTATACTAGATACGGCGACTTGAGAGCCGACGTTTATTATACGAAATACCTTCAACGGTAGTGTATGCTGCAGGACTATCTACTACGGTCATACACGCCCAATATGGGTGGTAGGATACTTAGAAATAAATGCGATGAATCAGGTACTTGTGGAATTTGATTTGCATGTTTATTGTATATTTATTGTAGGCACTACGAGCCAATTTTGGCTCGGGTGTTCCATTATAACTTATCTCTCAGCATATTTATTATACTAAGGCTCTCTAAACATCCTCACTGATGAATATTAGGTACCGTATTCACTCCAAGTTAGACAGGTTAGGAGTAATAAAGATTATTGATTCGCTATCCTCGACTGACTACCTTCCTAGTGACCAGCATTATTATGCCTCCTACTCTATTCGACTCACTTCGCATTCGCATTCGATCCAAATGCTTTCCTACACCCCCCCCCCCCCTCCCCTTCTCGCTTCCACATTTCTCTTCCTAACCCTACGTCGTCGCGGTAATTCTGTGGACTACACATGCATCAAGTATGACATCGCCTCTCTCTCTCTACCCTGCGCCCCTTTC